CTTTTGGCAGGAACAGAGAGTAGGAATAACAGCATGTACTGGGTTTATCTTGGGGAATCACAAAGAAAGCTAACGTGTTTTATCTTGATTTCACTGGAAGCGAAAGACTAAATAACACCCTAATCTCTAGCCCTTTTCCCAACCCCCCTTTCCCCAATTTTTTTTGGGGGGGAGCGTGCTCCTGCCTTCTGTGTATTTATATAGCACAGTATTTAAAACATAGGAGCATTAGTCTGAAATATAATGAAATGGGTCATGTTAATAAAGCAAGAAATACATTCTTCACCTCCCCACCTCAAAATGAAACAATTGGAGAACCATTACCTCCTCACCATTAGGCATCCCATCTGTCAAAACAGAACAGTAAGGATACTTGGGGCAGGCAATGATCTGACTGAGGGAATACCTCTGAGTATTTCAGAATGAGCAATAAGGCATCATGTGTTCAAAAGAGAAAGGATGCTAATTGTTCTCAGCATTTCAGATGGCAGGATCCCATAAGATGCTTTTTTTTCTTTTTTAATTAGGTAGTTTCTAGCTACTGCTCTTCCTAGCCTTTTCCCTTCTGGTGATGGTGGGAGATGGTAGATGAGTTTTGAGAGCAAAGAGACAAAAAGTCCTCAAGGCAGTGATCTGATAATGTTGAAAACTTTTAAAATCATTTCTTTGCAAGTATATTTGTCCCTGATTGATTGACCAGATTCTCATTTGGGCAAATGTCCATTTTGTCTCCCTAATTTGAACAAGGGTTTTTAAAAGACAAAGCCCATCAAACATTAGATAAGCATTTTAAGTTAATGGCCCATGCAGTCCTATTTTCCCACAAACTCAAGAAGCGTCATATTATGTCCCATTTTTACAGCAACATCAATTATTAATATGTATATTTTTGCTGACAGAGGACCTTGCTATAAATGTAAGTTTCGTTATCCAGTTCTGGGTCATTAACAGTGGAGAGCTTGTAAATATCATGGTGTATTCACATGGGAAGCCTTCATTAAGATGCATTATTGTACAGCTGATGTCGCTCGATACAGAGTGCATTACAGCCTCGTTCTCTGGCTCCCTCTAATATTCGTAATTTGTTTTTAAATGAGGTGCTGTTTATGTGGTGAGTTAACAAATTTGAATTTCACATGGGCAGACAAGTTGCTAAAGATGAAAAGATGCTCGTGGCCCAAAGGGGGAAAAATTGCTCATTAACATCGAGTTTGTGTATACAGAGTACCTACCACCTTCAAACTCAGTGTGGGGGGAGGGAAGAGAGAAAGAGAGAGAGAGAGAGAGAGAGAGAGAGAGAGAGTGAGAGAGAAGAATAAGAAGAAGGAGGAGGAGGAGATGGAGAGGAGAGGAGGAAAGAGGGAGACAGAGAGAGAGGGGGAGGGAGGAGAGAGGACGAGGGGAAGGAGGGGATACAGAGACAGAGAGACAGAAAGGAGAGAGAGAGAAGCTGCAAATGACCTCCGTGAATTTTTGTCAGAAAAAGTCTTCATAAAAGAGTATGCATAAATGAACACTGTGCTCCAGAAGAAGCTGGTTCCTTCTAGATGATATTCCCCCTTTCTTCTCCGTGCCTTTGCACAGGCTGTGCTTTGTGCCTGGACTGCACTCTTACCTCTTAGAATTCTTTGTTTCCTTGGAACCTCAGCTGAAATACCAACCTTTACCTGACATCTTTCCTGATCTCCTCCCACTCCATTCAAACCACCTTGAATATATTTTTGCATGTATATCCTTCTATATGTACATATTATTTTCTCCAATAGAATGTAAACCCTTTGAGGGCAGGGATGTTTCATTTTTATCCTTGGTCGTACCTGTACTTAATAATTATTCACTCTGTGCCAGACACTGCTCTAGGTGTGGGGGAGACAGACAAAAATGAGAAAGTCCCTGGCTTCAAGAAGCTTACAGTCTCTCAGACTGATTAAACAAGGAGTCAGGCATCCTGAGTTCTAGGTAGCTGGTCACTAACTTGTTGGTGTAACCAGTGACTCAGGCAAGTCACTTAATTTCTGGATTTCCACTTCTTCTTCTCTTAAATGGGATAAGAATACATGCTCTGCCCAGCCCAGAGGATTTTTGTGAGGATCAAGCAACTAAGTATATATTAAAGAACCTTTTAAAATAGGAGACTCAATGCAAATGGGAAAGGGTGGAATTTTAAAATCTGGGTTAGTGGTTGCCACTCACTCTGCAGAAGAGTGCCAAAACATTTAATTAAAGTGATAGAAGTCCATAGCTTTTAATGAGCTAATAGTACATGGGGTTCCTCTGCTTGGGGATTTATTGATTTTCATAAGCAGAGATGAGAAAAAGACCATCCCAAATCTGATGGGCATGTATCCATCTGGGAGAAAAATAAACAAAGGGAAAAGAAAGTGGCTACATTTAGGGACAAATTAGCAGGACCGCTTCACTCATGAATACACGCTAATTGAAAAACAATAAAAAACAATCAATAAAGTGTTGTTGGTGGAGCAGAGGGAATAGTCACGATCTATTTTTCATTCTGTAATAACCAGCATTCACATGAGCTAAAATATCCAAATGTGTAAATAATCTTTTTTCATTTTTAAATGCAAGCATTAGGAAAAATGTACATTGAAGATCTAAGCTTAGAAACAGGGGATGCTTAAGTAAAGGACATGTTCATTACTTTAATGAAAGCTAAAGTAATTTTGCAACAAATTGCAGAAGAAACATAAAAATCCTGCCATGGAAAGGCTGTTTGACAAGAGAATGTCATTAATTTGATGTGTTCTCTTCCCAGAAATGGGGCTTTTCCAATTCCTTTTATTTCAACAAATGTTTATGGAACATCTACTATATTATAGAGGCCTGGGGCTGGGGCTGCAAAACCCAGTTGGCCAGTCCCTGCTCCCAAGGACCTTCTGTTCTGTGGAGGATGAGAGAGGATAGAAATGGCAGCTGAGCGAGTCTGCGGAGTAGGAGAACCCTCACAACCAGGGGATTAGGGAGGGCTTGGAGCACTCATGCATGAGCTGAACACTGCAGGGGCTGATGGGGATTCTGAGAGGCCAAATTGAAGAGCCCGTGCCTCCTGGGTATGGTGGGTGACCTTCAAGGCCATCAAGTCCAAGACCCTAACTTACAAGGGAGGAAACTGAGGCCCACAAAATTTAAGTAGCTTACCACATCGGTAAGAACAGAGATAGGATAGAAACTGTCAAGTTCAAGGAACAGCTCGCAGGCCAGTTTGACTGGAGAGGGAGTATGAAGAAAGGGTTGCAAGCTCAGTAGGAGACAGATTGGTGGGGTCTTAAATGCCAAGGCAAAGAGTTGGTATTATATCCTAGAAGCAATGGGGAACAACCGAATATTCTTGAGCAGGGGAGCAGACTTATCTCTTGGCAAGATTATTTTGGCAGCTGTGTGACAGATTCAGTGGAGTGAAAATAGCTCAGGCAGGGAGAGAAGTTCAGTACTTATCACAATAAGAAGAGGTGCCATGAGCCCAGACTTGAGTGGCGGCTGTATGCATTAAGAGACATAAGAGATGGTTTGATTGACGGTGGGTGGAGGAGAGAGCAGAGCAAGGAGTCCGGGATGGTTCCCAGGTTACAAAGCTGGCCACTTGGGAGTCGGGTGGTACCTTCAACAGAAACAGGAAAATTTTGAGGAACGCAAGGTATGAGGGGAAGAGAATGAGACCTCATTTTGAGAGTTCTTTGATTCTGTCCTTTATGTAATGATTATAGTTGCAATTCCACTTTAAAATTCTTTTTAAGCTACCTTTAAAGCAAATAGGTTTTTGTATCTTGAGTGGTGTTGGCTGTAAACCATCCCACAGAGTGGGGAAAACTCTCAGAAGTAAGGTGTTTGGGGCTCGAGTCCTGGAGCTAGCATTAGCATTTTGTGTGACCTTGGCCACGTCCTTTCATTTCTCTGATGCTCTCTTTCCCACTCTGTATAATGATGGAGATGAACTAGAGATTGTCTCTGAGACGTGTCTCTGAGACTAGGTCTGAGACCTAGTTCAGCCACTAGAGTGTTCTTAGCTCAGTCATGGAACCTTAGCCTCTTTTTTGGAGGATTGTAGACATCCATCTGGCCTCATTCCCCTTTGCAGGTGGTGTGTTCCTCCTGGCTTGTTTTCTGCTCTTCTCCTCTCTTGGGACTCCCTTCTCACTCTTCGCTTCCTCATCAAAGCCCTCCAGTTCTTTGAGGTCCACTCTAAGTCATGTCTTCCATTACATCTTCCACAAGAAGTCTAACCTACACTGAGCCATTCCTTTCCTGATCTTCCACGAGTACCTTGCTTTATTGTGTGTGTGTGTGTGTGTGTGTGTGTGTGTGTGTGTCTGTGTCACCTGCCCTCCTTTCCCTAGTCAAATCACAAGCACCTTGAGGATGGAGGTTATAACTTGTGCCTCTTTTATACCCCTTCACCCCAATGAGCTTAGCGTTGTGTTGTATGTGCATACACTTTGGTGGCCTGTTACGTATTTGTTGATCAATGAATTACTAGATATGAGGCAGATGAACACTAACGTACAGAAAGAAGTTGACCAGGTTCCTTCTGTGCATAAAAAGAGGATGAATATTCTCTGGCTCAGATAGGTATAGGACTTGAATCTCACTCTGAAAATTTCTTCCAGATCTGAAATAACTTTATTCCATCAAAAGCATCTCCCTAAGGGGCACTTCCTGCTAGATCAGAGGTTCTTAGCCTGAAATCTATCAGTGGCTAGATTTCAAAGGGTCTGTGACTTTGGATAGGAAAAACAATCACATCTTTATTTCGATAGAATAACTTTCCTTTGCCATCCTATATTTTCTGCATTTAAACATACAATCCTGAGAAGTGTTCCATAGACTTCACAGATTGCCCAAGGATTCACAAAAAGGCTAAGATTCAAGTGCATTCTAAAATATAGTTTCTCATTTGATTCATGGACCTAATATGGAAAATCAATTTCCTGGACTCCCATGATCTTAACCCTTGGGTTTGGGGTGTTTTTTCTCGGTGTTTTCAGGACCCATCGCCACACATTCAAGGTTTCAACAACACACTTCTCAATGCCCAGAAAGTGAAATTCCTGCGTTACGAGGTCCAGGAGAAGCATGAGGAGGAGTATCAGGAAGCTTTAGTTACCATCAAGACAAATTTGAAGATGTTAGAGGGCCCAGATATCAGAGAGAATCTTCAGGACCAGATCCGGCACTGGTTCATTGAGTGCAGGTAAGACGAAGAAGCAGCTCACCTGCCTCTATCCACCAGGCCCTTCTCTATTCTATCTTTTTCATCTCTAGGGTTTTTCTCACTGCCCAACCCACCTCCATAGAAACAATGATGCCCTTCTAGCTGGGAAGCAGCAAGGAGAAGAGCCCTATGAATTGGGAGTCAGAGAATGTAGATCCATAATCTGATAGATGGGATGGATGGATGGATGGATGGATGGGTGGATGGATGGATGGATGGGTGGATGGATGGATGGGTAAATGAAAAAAGTATTTATTAAGCTCTTACAGTATTCAAAAATACTTTTATCAGTGTGAGGCTGGCAAAATCTACTTAACCCCTCTGGACCTCAGTTTTCTTCATTGTGAAATGGGAGGGTTGGATGAAGTCTTGTGTTTGTTTTACTTGCTTTACCTCGTGAAGTGTCCCTTCTCCTTTAAATTTCCTGGATGCTTCTTACAAAGAAATTGACTCGGTGGCATCTCCAGGAAGTGCTGCAGTCCATTTTGGGGGGGTGGGGGTGATTTGTTGGCTTATTTTAGATCCAGTTTCAGCAAATGATGTCCCTCTCAGGGACTGGCTTTCCTGTCATATGTGTAAGATTGTACACCCGAGAGATTGCTATTGACCCAAGCCATAACATCTTTAAAAAATGAGAGGGCTGGGCTTCACGTCTGAGCCCCTGGTAGTTCTAAATCCTAAGGTACTTTAGAGATGTTTGGTTTCCAGTAGAGGAAATGCCAGTAGGCAATTGCTGAGATTTAGCAAACACAGATACTTAAATATCTTTCCTTTGTACCATATGTCTGGAAAATTCATCTAAGCTGAGCATTACTCATTGCTCTGCCTTAGCAGTGACACCAGCTGAGAATTGCACATATCTCAGGGTTAAGCATTATAGGTAAGGTGCAGCAATGAGGAACCAAGTCAAGATGAAAATATTATAATAATAAATAAAACATCATCATCATCATAGCTGACATTTCTATAGCACTTACTAGGTGCAGGGCACTGTGCAAAGCACTTTACGACTATTAACTCATTTTATGCTCACGCCAACTATTGGAGGTAGGTGTTATTATTACCCCCATTTTACTGATGAGTAAACTGGGGCAAACAGATGATAGACAAGTAGCTTGCCCAGGGTCTCACAGCTAGTAAGTGTCTGAGGCCAGATTTGAATTCAGGTCTTCCTGACTCCAGGCCCAGTGCTCTATGTACTGTACCATCAGCTGCCAGGTTATGAGCCAGTTACCTTGAAGTGCTGAAAGGGTGAACAGCACTTTGTACTTAGGTGTGTAATAAACTTGTCAAGTTGAATTAAAGCTACCATGTGGAAGACTAGTCCTAGAGTCAGAAGACCTTAGTTCATATCCTACTTCCAATGGATGCTTATGACCCGTAGTGACATTTAGGCTTTACTTCACATCTCTGGGCCTCAGTTTACTCATCTGTAATGTGAGGGCACTGGACCTAGATCCACACCCCTCTCAGTCTCTCTGGAACTTGTGGCATGAACATCTCAGGGAAGTTTAGGGGCTGTCATTGCTCTAACAGCAGATTTCCTGTAAAGTCTGCCAGAGGAAGTGAGCTGCCTGGCCATTAGAGACCTAGGTGCCTGGCTTCCTTGCTGCTGCTGTCCCCCACTGACGGGTGGGAACTGGCCCTAGCATCTGCATCCCTTGTGTTCAGCAGCTCAGAATCATCAGTTTCTATCATCAATAAAAATAAAATATCTGACCTCAAACTTCCTCCCAGAAGATGCTTCCTAACAGCTGTTAATTATAGCAAAAAATAAATAAGCAAATTCATCCATAGCATGGCAATTCTTCACAGCAAGACTAATTAATTAATGCAGCTTACAAATCCATGCTATATCACAAGAGAAAAAAAACCTGGTGGGTTTGCACAAGTTAGCTTTCTCCTGTTCTCAGGCTTCTTCCTCTCTCTTTACCTTAAGCCTGGGTCTTACTGGAGACCAGGGAACACCCTGGGCCCCAGGGTACTCTCACAATGTCTGGGGCCACCTGACCTGCTCATCTGATAGGATATTGTGACCTTAGAAGCAATCCTCCATCTCCATGAAAGGAAAAAGTAGATGAAAATGATTTTTTTAAAATTTAGTAGTTTGGTAATTCAGTAATAAGAAGAAAAATGGAATCATTCTTAATGTCCTTACTATTATTCCAGCAATGTAGTTTTAACATGAAATTCTCTTGGGTTTTTATCTACGCCTTCTCTAAGAACCTATGACATAAACATCCTCAGGTCTTTGATTTTTTGGGTTCTTTTAGTTTCTATTTGCCCATTGTGAATGAATGAATGAATAAAAAAGCACTTTTAAGTGCCTACTATTTCACAAGCACCAAGGAGACAAATAGAAATGAAAGCAAGTCCCTCCTTTCAAGTGAAGGAGATAACATATAGGATAGTGACCAGCAGCTAATAAATGAAATTATGAAAATTTTTGAAAACATGAATGTAATAAAATGCACAGTGATTAAGCTTGAGATTTTGAGCATTCATTGGGTAAGTTGAGGGCGTGCAAAGCCTAAACAATAGGGCTTTGGCATTGGAGTAGGGGAAGTTCTGAAAGGTCCCTTGAATTAGCAAATCCCCCAATTATCGGAATGTTATTGCACAGCCCCAATAAGCCGTGGCTCCATCTGAGGAACACCAGGCAGGTTGCTGTCCTTTAGTATTGCCCTCTCACCTCCACAAACCTGAATAAGTGCACCAGGCTTCTTGTCTAAGTGGCCAATAAAGGTCTGCACCAGGCTGATGGAGATGATGGCATTGTGCTTGATCAGAACCATCATGACTCCACCAGCGCTTTCAATCCCAAGGTAAGGAGGAGTGACGTCCAACAGCAGCAAGCTCTGTGCATTCTCAGATTTACCTCCAGACAAGATGGCAGCCTGGGCCACTGCACCACAGGCCACAGCCTCATCAGCATTGACACTCTTTTTGTTGAAGAAATCCTGCAGAAGCTTCTGAATTTGGGGGATCTAAATGGAACCACCCACCAGGATGACGTTGTGAGTCTGTGATTTATCTAGCTTAGCATCTCTCAGGGCCTTTCTCACAGGATCCAGTATGCTGAGGAAGAGGTCAGCATTCCGCTCTTCAAAATGGAGATGGGTATTAGAAGTATAGACTTCGCTACCTTCACAGAGGGAGTCAATCTCAACATTGGCCTGGGTACTGAAAGAAGGGGTGCACTTTGCACATTCACTAGAAGCGCACAGATGGCAGATGGCCCTCTTGTTCTCACTCATGTCCTTCTTGTGTTTCCACTTGAATTCAGTAATGAATGACCATGCAGTTGTCAAAGTCCTCCCAACCCAAGTGAGTGTCCCCAACTGTGGACTTGACTTAAAAGATGCCTTCTTCAAAGGTGAGAATGGAGACCTTAAAAGTGCCACCTCCAAGGTCAAAGATCAACACATTTCTCTCAGCGCCACCCTTTTTGTCGAAGGCATAAGCGATAGCAGCAGCAGTTGGCTCACTGATGATATGTAGCGCATTGAGGCCTGCGATGGTTCCAGCATCTTTGGTGGCTTGATTTGGGGAATCATTGAAGTAAGGTGGTCCTGTGATGACAGCATCTATGATCGTCTTCCCAAGGTAAGCCTCAGAAATTTCTTTCATCCTGGTCAAGACCGTACTCCTGGATAGAAACTTTTTGGTCTCTCCTTTTTACTCCACTTGGACCTTAGGCCTGCCTACATCATTCACTATCGTGAAAGGCCAACGCTTCATGTCTGACCATACAACCGCATCATCAAATCTGTGACCAAACATTTAGTATCAAAAACTCTGTTGGTGGGGTTCATTGCAGCTTGACTCTTCGCAGCATCATTGATTAAATGTTCTGTGTCAGTGAAGGCTACATAACTTGGGGTGGTTCCGTTTCCATGGCCATTAGCAATGATCTCCACTTTCCCGTATTGGAAAACCCTCACACAGCAATAAGTGCTGCCAAGATTCACACCAACTGCAGATCCCTTTGCCATGGTTGCCGAGGCATTGGAGGTCATAGCTGGCTGCTGTGGAAGAACAAGGCTTGCTGCCATGCTGAGTCCCAATTTGTTTTTGAGATTCAGAAAAAAAAAATTCTAACAGTGAGAGCTGTCCTGAGGTAAAATGGGCTTCATAGAGAGGGAAAGATTCCCCTGGCTCTGGAGTTCATCATGCAGGGACTAGACGATGACCAGTCTGAAGACTGTGGAGGGTACCTGGGTTCAGATGCAGGTTAGAGAAGGTGACCTGTGAAAAGTGTGTGATTCTGCGAAGGATTTCAATCAACGGGTGCAGAGCAAGTGTCCACAATGATGAAATCCCAGAGCAGGGAAGAGTTGACGTTCAAGATGAAGAAAGAGGAACATAAAGCCTATTGGGGGGATAGAATCATAAGATCCCAGAAGACTCGAACTGGAAGACCCCCACCCCCAGAAAGCATCTAGCGTGGCCCCTTCCTTCTATAGGTGAACGTCAAAGCCCCAGAGGTGAAACCCAAGGTCACTCTACGACTCAGTGGCTGAGTCTAAGTCCAAGCTGCCTCCCTCCCAGAGCAGATAACAGGCTTTTCTAACAGTAAATGCTGTTCAACTTGGAAATGAGTTATTAAGAGAAGTTGTAAAAATGTCTTTCCCTGGAGGTTTTTAAAAGCAAGCTAGAAAAAACATGTTCATACGTGAATGAGTAAATCAGATGTGTCATTGTCTGGAAGGAGGCAGCATAGTAAAGTATGCAGTAAAGGTGCTGGTTTCAGATCCCAGTTCCAATGCTTCCTCTGTGACCTGAGTGACCTTGGACATGTCTATTTACCTGCCTGGACCTCAGTTTTCTCATCTTTAACATCCTGGAGTTAGGCTAGATGACCTTGAAAGTCCCTTCTTGCTAGGTATCTGTGATAGGGTATGGATCCTGTTTTTTAAGGTACTGTTTGTGTCCAGGGTTTGTGCTCTGAATTCTAAAGTCCACACGTAACTTTTTCC